TCAAATCGTCTCTTATCCAAACTAAACAAACCCAGTTCTTCCAGCCTTCCCTCATCGCTCCTTTTCTAGCCCATTCATCATGCCTGATGCTCTTCTCTGAACCGGCTCCCATTTCTCCACATCCTTCCTGAAATGCAGTGCCCTCAACTGGACACAGTACTCCAGCTGAGGCCTAACTCGCGCAGAGTAGAGCAGAAGAACTACCCCAGTCTTGCTCACAACACTCCTGTTAGAATAGTGGTAGAGATGTAGCCGTGTTAGTCTGGGGTAGCTGAAGCAAAATGCAGGGCAATGTAGCACTTTAAAGACTAACAAGGTGGTTAGTTAACACTCCTGTTAACGCATCCTAGAATCGCCTTTGCTTTTTTTGTAATAGTGTCACACTGTTGACTCTCATTTAGCTTGTGGTCCAGTGACCTCTCCATCCCTTTCTGCAGTACTCCTTCCCAGTCACTTTCCACGTGGTATGTGTGGCACTAATTGCTCCTAAGTGGAGTACTTTGTATTTGTCCTCATTGAACTCCATCCTATTTACCTGAGACCACTTCTCCAGTTTGTCCAGATCATTTTGAATTATGACCCTGTCCTCAAAAGCAGTTGCAACCCCTCCCAGCTTGGTATCATCTACAAACTTAATAAATGTACACTCTATGCCATCATCTAAATTATTGATGAGGATATTGAACAGAACTGGTCCCAAAACAAATCCATGCGGAACAGCACTTGTTATGCCCTTCCTGCATGATTGGGAACCATTGATTACCACTCGCTGAGAATGGTTAGTCAGTCAGTTACATACCCACCTTTGAGGAGCTGCATCTAGGTTGTATTACCCAAGTTTATTGATAAGAATGTTGTGCGAGACTGTATGAAATGCTTTACTAAAGTCTAGGTATACCACCACTATCACTTTTACTCCTTATCCACAAGGCTTGTTGTCCTATCAAGGAAAACTATCAGATTGGTTTCACATAATTTGTTCTTTATAAATCCATGCTGACTGCAGCTTAACACCTTATTATCTTCCAGATGCTTGTAGATGGATTCCTTCATTATTTGCTCCATTATCTTTTCTGGTACAGAAGTTGAGCTGACTGGCCTGTAGTCTTCTGGGTTGTTCTTATTTCCCTTTTTATAGATGAGAACTGTATTTGCCCTTTTCCAGTCTTCTGGAATCTCTCCGATCTTCCATGACTTTTCAAAGACGATAGCTAATGGCTCAGATGCATCCTAGAATACTCAATGAACTGATTGAGAACGTATTTCATCAGGCCCTAGTGACTTGACATCTAACTTTTTCCAAATACTTTTTAATTTATTCTTTTCCTATTCTAACTTCTGAAACTACCCCATTCTTGCTAGCATTCACTGTGTTAAGACATCCAGTCACCACCAATCCCCAGGTCATTAAGCACCTTTTCTGTTAATATTTCTCCCTCTTCATTGAGCAAAGGGCCTACCTTGTCCTTGGGTCTTCCTCTTGCTTCTAACGTATTTGTAGAATGTTTTCTTTTTACCCTTTATCTATCTAGCTAGTCTGAGCTTGTTTTGTGCCTTTGCAATTTTGTCCCTACATACTTGCATGACATGGCACACTAAAGCAGTTGCTATCCATTTAGATCAAGAACAGCTGTCCTGAGCTTTCACATCAAGATGAATTTCTGGCTTCAGCCTCACTTCCATCTCTCTCTCTCCCCTCACCATGCTGCAGAATGATTATTGACAGAATGAATAAGTGCTTGGACTGTTTTAGACATTAATACAATCAAGTCAAAATTATTCAGGTTGTAAGATTCTAGTTAGGAAAAAAAAAATCACATGCTGATGTCTGTATTCAACTATAGTGCCTACTTTTTCCATTAGAAGATTACTCTAGCAGCTGGACATAATAGGTCATAAGCTAAGAAGTATAGCTACTAAGGACCAAACTGATGCAAACACTTTCTTCAATTAGCCATGTGCTAAAGACAGGATCAGGAAACCATACAAGGATTTAGATCTGATTGCATATAGTCTCCCCCTACAAAGGCCACTAACTATATCAGGAGAATATTTTCTGATGACCCTAAACACTTGTATTTCATAGAATCACAGAATACTAGGGCTGGAAGGGACCTTGAGAGGTCATCGAGTCCAATCACCTGCCCTCACAGAGGGACCCAGTACTGTCTAGACCATTCCTGATAGACATTTATCTAACCTACTCTTAAATATCTCCAGAGATTTCCATGCTGTAAAAATGCAGACCAAATGCTGAGAACTCCCATGGCAACCAGAAACTTTCAAAAAGTTAAGAGACATAATTCCATGTGATGCCTCTGCAAAACTAAGGGGCTACGTCTAGACTGGCATGATTTTCCGCAAATGCTTTTAACAGAAACGTTTTTCCGTTAAAAGCATTTGCGGAAAAGAACGTCTAGATTGGCACGGACATTTTTCCGCAAAAGCACTTTTTGTGGAAAAGCGTCCGTGCCAATCTAGACCTGGGTTTGGGTAAGAAAGTCCCAATCGCCATTTTCGCGATTGGGGCTTTTTTGCGCAAAACAATACCACTTTGTCTACACTGGCCCTCTTGTGCAAAAGCATTTGCGCAAGAGGGCTTTTGCCTAAATGGGAGCAGCATAGTATTTCCGCAAGAACACTGACAATCTTACATGAGATCGTCAGTGTTCTTTCCGAAATTCAAGCGGCCAGTGTAGACAGCTGGCAAGTTTTTCCGTAAAAGTAGCTGCTTTTGCGGAAAAACTTGCCAGTCTAGACGCAGCCAGAGTCTGAGTGGATATACATAAAAGCATCGCTGTAGCAAACACAGACACACAACTTGTACATTAAAAAGGTCTTAAATTAAAAAACAAATATCCCTGGATATTACACCTAGATCCAAGATTTATGCATCAGCCTAACCCAGGGACAGAGTAAGTATTGCAAAGGATGTAAAATCCCATTTAATTGGTAGGTATTAGAGATGTAAAATCACATTTAATTGGTGTAATATGTTTAGCCAGTTAACTGATTAAAGGGGATAGTGGGGACATTCCAGCCCCATGACCGGACTGGAACACTCCCTCCCCCACCCTGCCATAGCCAAGGACAAGGACTGCTCTGGCTGGCTGATCGGAACAACCCCTACCTGCGGGGAGGGGAGGGGAGGCGGGGAGGGACTGTCACGGACAGGGGCTGATATGGCCAGCCAGTTGGAGTAGCCCCTGTGGGGCTGGAGCAGCTCCCTGGCTGTGGCAGGCGGGGAGCTGTTCCAGTCCCTACTGCTTAACTGGAACTGGTAAGCCTCATTCACATCCTTGGTAGGTATATCAACTGGAGCAAGAGGACAGTAGAAAATAATTTTCCATGTCTGGCTCTGTCTACATCCACATGAGCTTTAGTCAACTCTAAAACAATGCAAATGAGGGGTCTGGATACCTGTGTTTGTAACACTGATGTGGAAGTTTAGGCCTAAAGGGATGAGAGGTGCAAGCTTGGGGGAGGGGGGGAATTGGGATGCAGAAGGTGGTGGAGAAGGGGATGCTGGCTTGGGGAGGGGACTCCAAGCTGGGGAGTGTTGGGGTCAGGTGGAGGGTTGGGGTACTGAGCAAGCCACAGGCTTGTGGCTGTGAGAGTGCAGGAATTTGGGCTGGAGTGAATGAGGGGCTCAGGGCAGAGAGGCTGGGAGTATGACGGGCTCAGGACACAGATTTGCTGTGTGTGGATGGTGCAGGAGTGTTGTGGCAGAACACTGAGGAGTTTGGGGATGTGAGAGCAGCAGGGGGTTCCAGTATAGGATAGGCTCAGATCTCAGGTCGGGGAGGGGCACAGGAGTGTTATGATGCTGCGGCCAGATGGGGGCTTGGCCCCAACTGGGGGGGGTGTTGGCCAGGCTTTATTTTTAAATAAAATATTACGTCAAACACAAAAACTTCAGCATTGTCTTTATTTATGAGAAGGGCGGGGAACCTGTTTTGAGTCAGGGGCCACTGACCCACAGAAAAGTCAGTTGGGGCCACACAAGTGAGATGCAAAAAAAAAATAACTCCTCCAACCCCTCCCCTGCCCCCAAGCCTCACTAATGTGGCCCCAACTGTGCTAGTGGGAGCAGGGGACATGGTACTGGGGAAGGGTGCTAGTGGGTGCCGGGGTAGGGACAGGGTGCCAGTGGACAGGGAGTCCCTGGCACGCGCCTCCTCTGGGGACTCCTACTCCCCCCGCCCTGCAGAGGAGGGAAGCCCTGGCGTGTGCCTCCTCCAGGGACTCCAACCCTTCCCTTCCCCCCTCCGCACAGCAAAAGTCCCCAGCACGCCACAGACCTGGGTTGAGGTACTGTGCCAGCTGTTTGGGGGAGAGGGAGCAGTCAGCGCTTCCCATCATTTGCGATCGATGGGTTGGTGACCACGGTCTTAAAGTGTTTTGTAATCAGCTGTGCAACAGATTAAGTGAGGGAGGGGCTGGGAAAAAGAAGGAAGTATTGGGAGTGTTTTCATTTCATCACTTTGATCGATCCTACTGGTAAATGAGCTCCTATAACCATTAATGCAGTAGGCAATTTCTTGAAAGACACCTGCCTCATCATCCTGCCCCCACAGTTCCCACTATATAGCCAGCTGCCGGAGCAGCAAGCATGTCTAATATTGGAAGCAGAGGAAGCAACAGGAATGGTTAGCTGCGTGATTGACGAGGCACTATCAAACTGTTATATGTAATCGAGAATCCCGCAATTACTATGACTGAAGAGACTGTTCAGACTTGTTTAGTTTATCTACTTAGTGCATTTGACAACACTTAGTGAACCTGATCCTATGCAGTTTTTGAGAACATTCTCAGAGCTTTGGGGAAAAAAATAGGGTGTTTAGCGGTAACAACAGAAGCAGAGCCGAAATGAAAAGCAAACAGGCAGCAAACAGGTGAATGCATATACAAAGAAAGAGCATGCAGAAGGAGAGGTGTTCCTTCTAGGACAATCCAAAAAACTCTTCTTAATAAAAAGAAGGTGTGTGTGTGTGTGTGTGGAGAGAGAGGGGAGCCAGAAGCTATCACATTATTATTATTTTTTTAATTTAAAGGCATGCGTTTTTAAGGGGGTCAGTAGCAGAGCATTGAGGATTTTTAATTAGCCTGTTAAAAGTGCCCTAGAATTTCTAAAGTAATACCAGCAAATTATTTTTGATAAGGATAGGTGCAAATGCACCGTATTGGATCTTCTAGAGCCACAGCTAGAATCAGGAACCTTTACCCTTGTATAAAAACCAGCACTATTTTCTTTATTTTTATTAGCATTTTTATGATTTTAAATTCTAAAACATTTGTCACTGTAATGCAGTAGCTGGGCAGAGTAAAGACTCTCCACCTAGATACAAGTGGCACAGATCCATACAGACAACTCACCATACCCATGTACACCATCACAGCAAGCCACACAATGCTCTTTCCATCCATCAATATACATACCTGTGATGTGTTATGCAAGCACATAAATGATCAGTATATCCATAAGCAGTGTGTGCACAAAGGGTCCAACTGTTAATTAAGTTTCCAGTTTACTGAAGTCCTGGATATTATTATTTTGCAATTGACATGCTCCTTTTCCTTGAAATAAAGGTACCTCATTATAAAACATGACAGACTGCACATTGGTGCAGATGGGCTACCCCTGACCAAGTGGACGGTGTAATCCTGGCAACAGCCTACAATGACAGCTTTCCAAATCCATTGCTGGAGAGCAGTCACTTTCCAGTCCTCCAAACCGATGGATATTGCTGTCAGGACTTAGCCATGGTTCTATTCAACATATCAATCTTTGGGAAAACCTCAGCTTAACACATGTCCCCAGAGAAATCCAATTGGGGATGGATGTCCAGCACCTCCAAAGGGCTTCATGTTTGCCGGACAACTTCTCTAACCTCATTCTTCAACCCTATTGGGGCTGTTCCTTCTTCTCTGAAGTCTTTACTTGTAGTGATCATGGAGTTCCGCACAAGGCTCTGTTTCCTGATCAGAGTTGTATTGGCAATACTTGTGGAATGTAGCTGTGGACTGACCTATGTGCGTAGAGAATGGAGGTTTAAGAAGCATGGACAAGTTTCACTCAAGTAAGAAGGGAAATGAAACAAAACAACCACTAGTGCAGGTACAATTCTATAGTCTCTAAGATGTCTTCACTTGGTGAGTGCGCTCATGTCTCCTCAAAGAGCCTGACTCTGTGAAGTCTTGAGCACAATAAGAGCAAGAGTAGGGTTTCTCTCCTGTATGGATCCGCTGATGGCGCTGTAGTGATGCCAGCCGCGTGAAGGTCCCGCCACACTCCTCACAGTAGAAAGGACGCTCTCCAGAGTGAGTTTGCTGATGCCTTTTCAGTCTGAGCAGCTGGATAAAGGACTTCCCACATTCTTGACATTGATATGGTTTGTCCTGTCGGTGGATCACCTTGTGTTTGGACAGCAAATTAGGTTTATGGAAACCTTTGCCACATGTTGGACAGATGTAAGGTTTAGACTGTTCTTCTCCAGGCTTTTGGTCATCTGAACACTGTTGATAGGTATCTCCGCCACCATTTTGGATCTGGTGCACTGAAGACCATGGGTTCCTAACCATGCCATTTCCCAAAATTTTTGAACGCTCAATCTTGTGGACATTGCGTAGGTGCCTCCAGACATCAGCCGTGCGGATGAACCCCTTGTCGCACTCCGGACACTTGTGTGGTCTGTCACTGGAATGAATCAGCTTGTGCATTCGCAAGTTCGCAGCACGGAAGAACTCTTTGCCACAGATGGGGCACTGGTACGAATGTTCTGTCAGATGGATTTGTTTGTGTTCTTGTAATTCACCCAGATCCTGGAAAGTGGCCCCACACTTCTTGCACCTAAAAGGCCAAGCTTCTCCAGAAAGGGGCTTCAGGTCCTCCTCACCAAAGGCATCAATAAGAATGATGTTTTCATCATCCTCACTTAACCCCCCCTGAGGTTCCTCAGAGTGCTCCGAGGAGTAAAGCTCCAAGTCCTCATCTTCACACTGAAGGTCGAAGTTGGTGCTGGAAGTGACACAGACGGCAGGAGTGGCGGGATCACGTTTCTGGTAGTAGTTTTCATAGGTTTCCTCCTCTTCACATTGCAATTCTACAGGGAGCTCCTGCCTAATTGAAGGGCCAGCAATGCTGCAAACAGGGCTAGCTGGTGGTGAGTAATCTTCCTCTACCTCCAGCTGGAGGCTGGCTTTGCGACCTGTCCGTTCAGAGACATGGCTGGAATCATCTGAATGCTCCTCACCTGTGTCACAAGTGTCATTATCAGACTCCCAGTCAACCTCCACATCCATCCTGTGATGTCACCAAAGGTGCTTATGGAGGAATAATCATTGAGGCAAGTACATATGTTCTCTCATGGTTAGACCTTTGCATCTTCAGCTCCAACTGCAGCCTCCTGGGGAAGGAGAGAGAAGAGGGTGGGGCGAGGAGAAGGGGAAAATATTTCATTACCTGACTTGCTCAAGTTGATGTCAGGTAAAGTGAACAAAGGGTACTGAGACTTTTGCCTGTCTAGTTTCTACAGAGGAAACCCAGCTTTTTTATTACATTGGCGTATGGAAAATTCTTTAAACTGAAATGTTTAAATAGCCATATGTAACGCAAGAGTTTTCCTTTGTTTTATCATCAAACGAGAAAAAGCTCAGTTTCTCTTGTACCAGGATGGCCCAAATGCAACTACCTCAAACATTCGCTGATGTGACATTTTGCACCTTCTGCTTTTTTTCTTTTTAAAGAGTTAGACATTAGTCCAGCCATTGTTTGAACACGTCCCTTTCCATTCTCCGTAACAGCATTACATCACATTTTATGAAAGTGTGACTTTTGTTGGATCTGAATTCTGCTAATCCTCTATATTACTACAGGATCTCCCCAGTTCTCTGACAATTAAGCTAACTAAAGCACTTTTCTAACTATGGTCCGAACGTGACCCCTCCGCCCCCATTACCATTACTTTACAGCAGGGGTGGGCAATCATTTTTAATACGGGGCCAAGATTTTGGTAAGTGGTCAAGGGCTGCACTTCTATGGAGGGGATGCAAGGTCTGGGACAGGAGGAGTGTAGAAGGGACTAGGGTGCAGAAGAGGATGTGGGACCCGAGAGGGAGTTTGGGTGAAGGAGGGGGTTATGATCTGGGACAGGGACTTGGGGTTCAGGGTCTGGGAGGGAGCTGTTACCTGGACGAGGTGGGGAGAGGGGATCCAGAGGGTTTGGGTGGTGACCTGGGGCAAGGGAATGGGGTGCAGGATAGGGATGTGAGTGACCAATTGAGTGGTCGACTAACCCAATAACCCAAGGCTTATTGGGAAGTCGAGTCAATACTTGGCTACTTGCTTCCCCCACTCTTGCTGCCTCTGTATCAGATGCAACAAGCGTTTGTGTGGAGGGGGGCCGGCTTAAAAGCAAGTTTCCCCCAGTACCATCTCTGTGGTGCAGGGGGGAGGAGAGGCACAGCAGTCCGGGACCAGCTGCGAGCCAGGACTGCTGTGTCCTGGCTCACGCTGGGTCTCAAACCTACCCCCGCTGCGGCTCTGCCTTTTAAATGTAGTAAGAGTCAAGTGGCTCTTATTACATTTAAAAGGCAGAGCTCCGGGACTGTTCAATCCCAGCTCTCGCCAGGTCCCAGATCTACTCCTACTGCGGTTCTGCAGCTTAAATGTAGTAGGAGCCAGGCTGCCTGTGCGATCAGCTCCTACTACATTTAAAGTGCAGAGCCGCAGCAGGGGTAACTCCTGGACCCCACCTCCCCTTATCGACTAATCGTGTAGTCAATACAAATTGTATCCTTAGTGCAGGGTTAGGGAGGGGTAGGGGTGCAGGAGAAGATTCTGGCCTGGGGGAGGAGTGCAGGAGAGAGTGTAGGATCTGGGAGGGAGTTGTGACCTAGAGAAGGTGAGGAGAAGGGATACAGAGGGTTTGGGTGGTGACCTGGAGCAGGAAGTTAGGAGGAAAGAGGAAGTGGGGTGCCAGAGGCAGGCTCTGGCTGTGAGTTCCCAGCCAGCAGCCCTGCAAAACCTGAGACAGGCTCCATGCCTGTCTGCAGGGCTGGCTGCTCCACGTGGCTCTGCTCCAGCACATGAAGGTGGGGGGGAGTGAAGTGGTTCCATTCACTGCTCCCACCTCCAGAAAAAAATTCTCAGCTCTTATTGGCTAGAAACTGGCCTATGGGAGCTGAGAGATTTTGCTAGGGAGCGGAGACACAGCTTGAAGCCTCCCCATCCCTACCCAGCGTCCAGAGCAATTAGCAGTCAGCTCTTTAAAGTGGCATGAGCTGCTATGTAGGAAGGGTCCTGGCAAGGTGGCCATAGGCCTGATCCAGCAGCTTTGTGGGCTGAATCCAGCTCTCTAGCCAGCTCTTGCCCACCCCTGCTTTAGAGTCTGAACTTAACACAGGGGTGGGCAACAATTTTTGGTGGGGAGCCACTCCGAGATTTTGGAAAGTGGTCAAGGGCCACACTTTTCTTTGGAGGAGGTGCGGGGTCCAGGATGGAGGTTGGGGGCAGAAGAACACATGGGGTAAGGGACTGGGATGCAGGAGATGGTGTGAAGTCTGAGAGGGAGTCTGGGTGAAGGAGAGGGTTGTGACCTGCATCAGGGGATTGGGATGTAGGGTCAGGGAGGGAGTATGGGTGCAGGAGAGGATTCTGGCCTGGGGAAGAAGTGTAGGAGGGGGTTCAGGGTCTGGGAGGGAGGTGTGACCTGGGACAGGGGGGTGCAGAGAGTTTGGATGCTGACCTGGGGAGGGAGCTGAGGTTCAGGGGTACCAGAAGCAGGCTCTGGCTGGGAGGTGCTTACCTAAGCATCTCCCAGCCAGCAACCCTACAGCACCCCGAAGTCAGGCAAGACTCCCTGCCTCCTGTAGCCACAGACGGCTTGAAACTGCAGGATGCTCCCTCCATGTGGTGCTCAGCTCTGGGAGGGGGAGAGGCTTGCGCTCCCCCCCACCGCCCGGTCCCCCAGGCCAAATATCTCAGCTCCTATTGGCCAGTTGCTTCCAGCCAATAGGAGCTGAGGATTGGGCTGGGGGCAGGGAGATCACACAAAGCCTCCCCCTCCTTCCAGAGCAGAAGCACATGGAGTAGCCCTGTGTTTAAAAAAAAAAGCAGCTGCTGTGTGCCTAAGGCTCCTGGCAGGGTGGTCCACGGGCTGGAACTGGCCCGCGAGAGGTATCTTACCTACCCCTGACCTAACATATATCCTCACAACAGCCTCTGAGGAGGGAAGTACTGCAGCTGTGGTAGAACGAGGAGTTGAACTCAGACTGCCAAACTATTACACCAGGGCCCTAACCAGCGGGCCATCAGCATCATCATGCACTCTACCCGTGGAGACTGTGTCTCAGTACATACTGGAAGCAGCAGGTACTTTTTCTTGGCTTTTCTTTTCTAAGAGTCTCACACTTTTTTTAATTTCAGGCAAATCCAAACATGTCCAAGTTCTCTGAAAACTCCCCTGGAGATATCGTCTCTCATTGCTAGCTGGTGCAAGTGCAAATGGGGGCTAGTATTGTATAATTTATGAAATATTTTAGACTACATTCAACCGAGAATTGCAATCCCTGCTGATCATGCGCCTTCTTCTGCCTACTTGGCTTATTTCTTGTCAGAATACTTTCAAATTTCCACATCAGAGAGCCTATGCAGCCAGGCAATTAACAGATGTGTCCCTTCCTTTCCGCAAGAGCCATATTGAGGTATGTAAATCTTCACAAGGGATTTCAGTTCTCAGGGTGAGCAAGTTTATTTGCACCTCAAGGCTACGTCTACACTACGCCTCTCTTGCGCAAAAGCCTATGCAAATGAAGTGCAGATTAGAATATTGCTGCATTTCATTTGCATAATTAGGGGCCTTTTTGGCGCAAAACTCCCCTCTTGCGCAAGAGCCGTTTTTCCTCATTTTTTCAATGGCTCTTGTGCAAAAGCAGCTTCTAATTAATTATGCAAATGAAGCACTGCGATATTCCACACCGTGCTTCATTTGCATACGTTTTTCCAGAAGATGGCTACAGTGTAGCCATCGCCTTACTGGTGCACCACACCGGGATACCTGGCTGCTCTTAGATGTACTAGGGGTGCTTTCTGGCCACTGACCTAGGCTCCTGGCTGTGCTGCTGAGCAAGTGTCTCATTGAGCATCTCATGGCAGCTGGGCGCAAGCAGGGAATGGCTGCAAAGAATGCAAAGGCACCTGCAGGGGAGTGGCAAGAGCATATGGGGGCATAGCTTGGAGCTGGATCCCCCGGGCTGGCTAAAACAGAGTGAACTACAACAGGGTAGTGATAAAAACAAAACACCATGTCGCCTCCAGGCAAACATTGTTCATAAAACAATGACTCCATATTTGACCTCTCTTCACTTCCTCAGAAGGAAACCTGCACAATACCTTCAGATGAGCTTCAATTTGTAACTTTGGTGACACTAAAGATCATGGACCTCAAAAAAGATACTGGATTTATAGCTCACTACCGTGGGCAGTTCATAATGCAGGCAAGGGAAGGCACAGCCTGCAGCCCAGCTTCCCCCTGCTGCTAGGGAGGGATGGGGCTAGCGCTGCAGCAAGGCAGCTCCAGCTCTCCATGTGGCCAGGAAGGACTGGATGGGGTGGGCGGGGCTTGGCTCCAGGGGTGGAGCCTCAGGTGGAAGGGGCAGGCCCGGGGCTTGCCTTCCCCAGCTGGGCTTTCAGTACATAAAGTTGTAACCCACTCATCCTTTTGTGCAGGATTCTGCTGGGGATTGTCCAACTGGCCTGGCTTGGGGAGTAGGGCAGGGAGGCCTGGCAGGTAGCAGTCAGCACCCCAACTCCCATGGCACAGAGGCCCAGTGGCCTGAGAGACTCCCTCCCACTTTCTATCCACTGAGTCCTGTCAGGAAGTGATGATTTTCAAACTGTGACAAATGGAAGGCAGAAACATGGATGGAAGAGGTACATGACCCCTTCCTGGGTAGGGTATGACCCTGCATTAGGCTACAGCAGCATCTCTCAGATGTGGCCACCACCAGATGTTTTTGCAGCCACTCAGCCTCCAAAGCACAGGCAAAGATTGAAGGGGGCAGGGCGTAAAGCCATGGCCCCTCCATGCAGAACCCAGCTGCTGCCTTTCTTTGTGTTTGAGCTGGTGCTGCTCTTTGGGGGCTCCAGGCTGCACCTCTGGAGTAGGCTCACCAGTTAATGACACCAGTTAGTAGTTAACTGGCGAGAGCAGCCTGGTTAATGTTTAACCAGTTAACTGATTAAATGGCATTTTACATCCCTACTCTTAAGATGTAAAATGGTGGGGCTGGTGTGCACCGTGTTGGAGGCAGCTCTTGTCAGTGGAGGCGGCTCCAGTGGTTGGTCAGCGGGGCACTCCCCAAAGCAGCTCCCCTGCTGCTGCTTGAGCCACAGGGAGCCTGGGACTCAGCAAAGAACTGGTGAGTTCCTGACCTACTTTCCCTGGGGAGGGCTCTCGCTGAAGGGCTCACAGGAGGCAGGGACAGAGAAATGGGTCAGCGGTTCCCCTGGGTCCACCTGTAGCAGCTTTAACAGCTCTGGGCTGCAGCAAGGCTTGGTAGCTCTCCAGCAGGATGAGGGGGTTTCATTCCATGCACAAGAATAGGAGCAAAGTCCAGGTGCACCAAATGGAAA